CTGTTGACCCTCGGCTCACTCGGACGCACGGAGGACAGCTCAGGCTGTGAGTGTTCAGTCCGGTCGGACACTGCTGATGGTTCATCAGCAGGCACAGACTCTCCGGGAGGCATTGCTGGCTGACCAGGGTACTGTTCTGGCACTAGGTCGATGTACTGCTTACTCTCAAGCTTACCGGATTCAACCAAGTGTTTGATGCCCAACAGATCCATGTGTGGCGTCTCTATGAGTTTCTTTTCGTCTTGAGTAGATGGTCGAACTTGTTCTGGGGCACACCTGAAGATCTGACGTTTGTGAATAAGAACTATGTTCCGACCCACATACCCTAACACTACCGCAGGACCATGCCATCGACCAGTTCTGTCGAGAGACCCATGAATCCATTTCTGCGAACGCCAGAAGGCGACGTATGTTCCAGGTTCATGCCACTGGTTTGCTCGTGGTCGAGCCGCAAGTGCCAATCGAAGTGATTTGCTATCCTGCAAGTCCAACACGGCTTTCCGAGCAGACTGTCGGATGGCCACTTGCCTTGCCAATGCCTCTTCGTACAAGGACGAGGTTGCAGGCACGATATCGAGAGGCTCATCGAGCAGGTTCTCTGGAATCCGAGGATTCTTGCCGAACACAAATTGGGATGGTGTCATCCCGTACACTTGGATTAACTGGTTCTTGCAGTGGGCGGCGTTGACGCAGTCGATCCACTGATCTTGATTAGCTGGGACATGCTCGGTGAGGACTTTTTCGAGAACCCGTGCGAACCAACCTCCGTGCACCTCGACTTTTCCTAATTGCCAGTGGGCGTCTGCCGCTATCAACTTAAATGTGGCGCCACCCTGCTCCAAGATAGATGCAAATGCATCTGCCAGATTAGCTCTATGTGGATCGCACACGATCTCTTGCGGCATACCTGCCCAGGATACCCATCTTTCCATGAAGACCCTCTTGAGGATTTGGGAGTTCTCTCTTTGAAAAATAGGCACGACAATTTGCAGGGAACTAGCATGATCTATGATGTTCACAGCTGGAATCCTTTGGTTTACCCCCCAACCCGGAAGGTACTTGATATCAACACCTACCAAGGCATTGAATTCGACAACCCTTTGTGGTTGAGAAGGCAGGGCTACCTTTGGGCTCTTCTGCGCAAGACATTGATCGCAATGGAAGTTTCTGGCAGCATCAATGGCTGTCTGAGACGCACCTCCATGTTTCAAGATCCTAAGCATGTGTTGATTGGTTGGATGACCCAAATTTTGATGTAACCTTTTTAGGCTAGTCTTGACCTTGTCGTCGGATTCTTCATTCAGCTCGGCCAATGTATGTGCTACCAGACATTCTGTACTACTGTCGTCTACGAGGACCAGGCAGTCTGTCACCGGCAACCCCCGCACGAGTCGCAACACGGCCTTGACAAAGGCTGGTGTATACTTGGCAGCATGCTTACTTATGGATCCTACCCTAGCATGATGACCTGCTACTACTTGATGTGTGCGGTGACCGGCATGCGAGGACCCTGGACATTGCTTGGCCAAAGCTCTCATCTCAGCATGAGACACCAGCAATCGGGTTGCTTTGCGGATGAGGTCTCCACCTGGAACGCGGAGGCCGTAGCAACACATGTCAACCGAGATGATATGCATCTTCTTACTTAGCTTTTCCATGGAGGGTAGCTTCCAGGCTATCGAATCCCTAGGATGCTCAAACAGGCACTGTCCTCCTAATTCGAACTGAAGTTCCATGAGCTCACAACAGAATTTGATGAACAGTTGAGTCCAGAATTCTTTCGCCTTGACGTCGTCAGGGTGCATATGCAAAAGATTAAGATGCCACCACCCTCCCGCCCAAGTGCAGGGCGGACAACAGACTAGAAGCTTTGGTCGGCTGACACGAACGTGCTGCATAAGGGCTTCCCGATCCGATCGTTTCCGAAAGTCCCACCCGGTGCACAGGTCCGCTGAGAGAACCTTCACTCCTAGTTTGGAACCCTCAAGGCCAAAACGAGGTGGTGAAAACACTTCAATCACATCGTATCGATCGAAGTCGTCCCGATTCGGTGCCTTTACTTGGGCCATCAACTGACGGTGTTGTTTGGCCGTCCAGTGCATGATGTGCAACTGTTCTTCCTCAGTCGAAGGGAAGGACGGCGGTGAGACATGATTCAGAAGTCGAAACACCGTGGTACCAGTCCATGGTTTCGAATCATGAGGTGCATGAGCTTCCTTAGACGATGTCCAATCATCCTGAAGGTCCCTGAGTACGGAAGTGGGGTTGTTGACATGAGTGACTCGAACATGTTGCAAATGGCTCACATCGACTGGACACTGCGTGTTGCAGGGAGTGAACCGATGTGTGCGTGGCTTGAGATGATGACGAATCACTGTCCTGTCGTGAGGGCGATATTCCCAATAGTCCTTACACTTACCAACCCTGTGATTATACTCGACCGAGAGACATGGGGATTCCGGCGGCTCGGATGCCGGCATGGGCTCAGGAAACTTGCTCGAGGCGTCATCTGGAAAATCAGTGACGCGGATCGAATACTGTCCAGCTGGATTGATCTCCATCGGAATGCTCACCTTTCCAGAAAACAAGGACAGCTGATCGGTGGCAAAATCGATCTGAGCACCAAGCTTCTGCATCGCCGGTCGTGACAGCAGGAGGGGTGCAGCCCCCTTCACAATGGCAGCTCTGATGTAGCCGGGCCTGCCGGCCAGATAGACAGGCATGTCCACTGCTGCGGTGCTGGTCTCTTGTTGCCCGTTGCCAAACCTGAACCTGTTCTTCTCTGCCCGTTCCGATGGGCATGGAATGCCATGACTCTTCCAGATCTGACAGAAAGCCTCATAGGTGGACCGGCCAATGATCGTCTTGCCGCAACCACTGTCCAGGATAGCATACCCCGGACTGCTGATCAACAACACTTCAATGTCACCACACGTAGCTGCTGTACAAATAAAATGCTCTGTATCCTCTTGATCAACCACCTGCACGGCTCCAGCAGCATGGCTCGCGTGCGATGAAGCACCAGATGTTGATGCTCCGGTGGACTTGCATTCCCGTTGCCAATGGCCAATCTTGCCGCACTTGCGGCAACGAGTTCGCTGTTTGAGTTCCTCCACCTGGATGCGGAAGGAGCGCTTTGTGTCCTTGCCGGCGAACTGTCCCCTTCGGCCATCGGGAGCGCTAAACTTGCGCCCCTTTTGAACCATGTTCAACTCTGCCCTCTTCTCCCGCCAAGTCGCGGCGAGGATCTCTGCGGCATCGTCCTCGTCAATGCCCTCCAGGTCATGACTGTCGTCCTGGGAATGGAAGGCCTCCTCATAGCCATGTTCAGCCAGAAAGAGCTCCACATCTTGGAAGCCGTCATCATCGGCAGGTCCATGTGGTGCTTCCTCAATGGCATGAGCGCCATATGCCTTCTTCTTGGGCACGACGTAGTCGGGAAAACACGATCTCATTGCCTGAGCCAGCTGGTCAAACTTTAGATCACCTTGAGCTCTAGCCAGGCATACTGCACGATGCTCCTCCGACATGCCGCTGCAGTTCAACAGAATCCAGCCACGGGCCTCATCTGGGAACTTGACGCCAGTTTTCCTGGCGCACTTGTCAAAGCATTCTCGGGCCCTTGCGCACCAGACACGAACCGACTCGCCTTCTTTGGCCTTCAAGGCGAAAACCTCGGCAATGTTCTCGCCGATCTCATCGGTTCTATCCAGTTCCGGCCATCGCCGGTCGAGCAGATTGAAGATGGCAGCTTCGCCCCCTTTGACCTGGTAGTCCGTCTCTTTGAGATGCTCGACCACCTCCAGCGCCTTGCCGGATAGCAAGGTCCAAATGAATGAGCCTCGCGCTTCCTCGGGGAGCTTGTCCATCGTTCTCATCTTGTTCAAGGCCCATTGCTTCCATCGTCGGTACTCCCTGTGGTCACAGTCGTCGCCACTGAAGTACCTCAGTGACGTCCCCGCTTCCATCGCTGCACAGTCGCGTGAAACGGCACACGTCCAGCGTGCCCGGAAAATCAAATGGAGCCAGGAATGAACCTGGCTCCGCTACCAATATTGGCAGCCCCACACCGCGCCCCGCGCGGCCTTTTCCGCCATTCGGGCATGAGAGTCCCTGCACAGTCGCGACAACATATATATATATATATGAAGTCCGGCCAAAAGTCTATAATCAAGAAAATAGACAACGGGGTCGAAAGTAGCTTATGATGTTGTTTTTTCAATGAGGTTATGTAGCGGGCCCCCAACTAAACACACCTATTCTGCAGCTGGGCGCTAGGTTTGCGGTAGACTTGCGCTAGTGACGCTAGTGTTTGCCTTAGGACATGTTCAGAACGTCGTCAGGTTTTTTGAAAAGTGGCTGGCTGAAAAATGCGCTAGCCGCGCGCTAGCACTGCGCTAGATCCGCGCTCGCAAACATTGCCAGATTCCAGCGTGAACCCTTCCAAGGCTGACTTGCAACATGTCTTTTGTTTCAAGCATGGCTTGAAGCTCGGAGATCAGCTGAAAACGGTGCAGCGCTAGTGACGCCTCCTACAATTTGGCGCCAATACTTGTTTGGTCCATGTTTCCTTCATTGACCTGTGTGTGTGTGTGCCAAAAGTAAAGAATATGTAGCGGGCCCCCATGTGAACACGACTTTCAGCCATTTTTGGAAGAAGACATTTCGACCAGATCCCATATATATATATATATATTAATAGAGACTATATAAAACATATCAGGCATCATCAAGCATCCTAACATATAGCCGTTTTTTATCGATTCGTGGTTTGGTGGAGTTCGTTTCGGGTGAGGCGTTTCTCTTTGGGTGTGTTTTCACATCAATGAATTTGAGGAGATTTCAGTGATCCAGCATACACACGTGTACACACGTGGCCTGTGGCTGGTTTTAAGGCAGAAGGCGGAATCAATTGTATGAGATGGTCTTCCGGGATTCGGAGTGCCAATCCCAAAACCCAGGTCCCCGGGTCCGCTCTGGAGAGCTCTCGCCGCTCGCAGGACGACGACATGGATCCCGAAGAGGTGGGCGTCTCGACGCCGAGCGAAGACGCTCAGACGCCGGAGAACGGGTCGTGGAGAACGGCATGAGACGCATCGTCCAAAGCTGATGGGTCGGATGGGTTGGATGCCAAACCGGGCAACCGGTCGCCCGATGGTGGAGGAAGGACTGGCTCCGGCTCCGGTCTACCGGAGCCGCGCGGGGTCGGGGTCGGACGGCGCCAGGGGTGTTTTGGGGTGTCCTCCAATCATATACCTCACAGTTCGATCAGTTCCACCTGCGAAACGAAGGGATCGTCCCATCTTGGTGCGATTTCAGAGACTTTCAACTCGGGCCAGCGGCAGGGTAGAGATTTATGAAGCTTTACGGATGATCAGCATGCCATCTTTGCCGAGATCTCCGGCCGAGATGACGGGTGCAAGAAATCTTTGGCGCGTCTTGATCTTTGGCCCTTTGCCGGGCGTTTTGCTCTTCCAGTCCCAGGTCCAAGTCAAGTCCACGCAACACCAAAATCCTGCTTTCCGATCCGAACTTTTTCAGAGATTTGACGATCTAATCCCTAGGCTTCCAACCACCATGATTTAATAGGCTTTACCAAATCAACTTGGTCTTGGAATGGGTGTTTCTGGCTGAGATCCAGTCCACGCGAGCCGCGGGGGTCGCTTCACCCCCACCCGCGACAGGCACCGGGGCCGCCCGGCGACTTGATCTACGACGTGGAGTTCGTTGGGGTCGGGAGCGTCTGACCGGCTTCGCGTCTGACTGGAGGGTTTGAGGGTTTCAGGGTGTCTCAGGGGTTGAGCTTTTGGGAGTAACAAGAAGCGTTTGAAGATGCTTTTAAGGGTCCTTACCCCAAGCGAAGCATCGTCAGACACGAAGGATTTTGGACAAAAAAGCCACCAGGAGTCCCAAGTCCCGGGTCGTTGAAAGACCCTAAGCGAGTGGATCTGATGTTCACCCCGACTTCCCTTCCATCCATGGACACCCCAAGTGCCGGAACTACCAGGTGAGCCTTGCTTTGAGTCTAAGACTGGAGAAAGCTGGACACGTATGAAGATTGAAGATCACTTCTTTTGGGAGCCAGGGTTTGCTGTGAAATATCGCGTTCCAGGACGCGAAGCAAAATATCGCACCACGAGCTGAAGAAAGACCTTTTTCCACTTGATCGGCAACTGACAAAATCACTTTGACCCTGCATGGGGCAGGTTGCGGAAAGTGCAGATGGACAAGAGAAACGCTACTTTCCTCCCTTGCCCAAGTCTGCAACATCTAGTACCCATGGGGTCCAGGAGGTTTTCCAACCGGTGGAACTTTTTCAGAGTCGCGTGAGCGGTTGAGTTCTCATTCGCCCGAGAAGTTCAGAGGCTTTTGGTTGGGGACGTGTTCTGTTGTTCTCGCTTGGACGGTCGATCCCCGTTGCGTGATTGAGCTAGAAGGGAAAGCAGGCTGAAAGTTACGTCAATGCCGGATGGCACAAAAAAACCTGATAGACCCCACGAACCCGAATGTGAGATATAAGTGAAAGGAGCGGATTGATATCGGACATGACATGGGACAGCAAATGAGAATCTTCGAGATGCCTTCGAGATGTCTGAGAGTGACCTTCATGAGCTCGCAAAAAGCCAAGAAAATCATGGCTGATGCGACAGCGTTCATGAGGTGTTGCCTTTTTCACACTCGCTCATGCACCGGCCTTCGAACAGGCCTTGAGCCGTGGGCTCGAGCTAAAAAGGCCGCACTGAGCGGCTGATTGTTTTTCGTGTGCCACTCGGCGTGGCATCGCCTTCGACCCCTTCGTGGTTGGTTCCTTGTGGTTGAGGGCATTCCTAAAGAAAGCCCTACTTTGGCTACCGCACTTATAACTTATAACTTTCATAAATGCTGTAAGTTCTTAAGACCTTGCCAAACACAACATTTTGCAAAGAGTTTTGGGTGCACGAAAAATCTCTGGTCTGCGCTCCACAACAAAACTCCTCATCACACAAAAGTATTGTGTGTCTCTGGATTTCAAAAGGATGTGTCGCTTGGCGAGCAAACTTGAATGCTTGGCAAATCTTGGCAACATTGTCTTCAAGTATGTTCATGTCAGGTGTCCAGTTCAATCAGACCCATCTGAACGTTTAATTTTTTCAAGCAAAATCAAAACAAGAACGGAATTCTCAGAACCCTAACCTTGCCAACCGAGCGGATCATTACAGCTAAACTGCGCGTATCGAAGTCAGGGAAAATGAAAACACATATGTGTAAACATGAAAATGTAGAGCCGTTCGCGGTAGGGCGCTAAGGTGCTGACATTGGGGGAAGGTTTTTGGAGAGAGTTTTGGATGGAAGCATGACGTGTCAGATTCGTCTGAAATAGCGAGGAAACGTGTGGAAACGTAAGATGTTGAAGTGTGGAGGATCATTTCACTGCGCAGGCACAGCGTTTTGTGAGATGGTGAGTTTTTCTGCGCAAGTCACATTGGGATTGGCGTTTGGAGAGTGGTGTTTTTGGGGTGTTGGATGTGGCTGTGACATTGGGATTGGCGTTTCAGGGTGTTGCATCGAAGCTGTGTTTCGTGACAAGTCTCAGCTCAAATGACGATTTTGGTGGATGGGAGTGTGCTCAGAACGTGCCGAAATCATTCCAAACGTGTGGTAGCTGGAAAGATGAGGTGGGAGACCCGGAACCGTTTGCTTTGGCGAACGTTCAACCACCAGCTCCGCAAAAGATGCTTGGAGCTTGTAGTGAAATGCTTCTGCGTGCATGGAGCGTTCGTTTTGGTGTCAGGTGTGATCCACACTGGTGCGACACAACCGACGTGGAGAGGAAGATGCGCGGCACGAGCGTGCGATAGACTGCGCACAAACGAAACGCACAAGCAACCAACCTGTATGTGACAGTCCGCGTCCCTGCGTCGCCAGGAGGCTCAACTTCCATGCAACACAAAAACCAAGCGGAGGCCAGAAAGGAAAAGGCAGCGGCCGAGCAATTTAAGGTTGCTCACCTCCCCGCAAAAAAAGTGCTAAAGGCACAAAAGGGTGCAGAGAATGAGGCGGATAAGGCACTGCGTAAAGAGCGGAAAAGGGTCGCGGTAAAGATGAAGCGGCAGCAGGGGGGGGAGGAGAGAGAGAAAGGTCAAGATACAACACGGCGATCACAGTTGCCCGCGAAACACAGACACACACACATACAGAACGCATGCAACCGAGGCGTGCTTTAAGTGCCTTTTTGCTAGACTACCGTTGAAGCCTTGAAGGTGGCACGGCGACGTGCCTACAGGTCGGCCGTGCGTGAGGCCGACTTCTGTTCTAAACCTGGGTCACGCACAAACACGTGCATAGCTACATAGAGCATTGTGTTTCAGGGCCCACCCAAAACGGCTGCCGCCTTGGATGTCGCCCGCAACAGTCGCCTGCGCGCGTTGCGCAAAAATCAAGAAAAAATTAACGCAAAAACTCTCTGGGGCGCCGTGCCACCTCACAGCCGTGGACACCTCTCCATCACTGTCCACCCCTCACCGTCAGTTGACATCTACCTGGTCATCGCCGGGAGCACTTTCCCGCTGAAGACGCTCATGGACACGCTGGACATCAGCGGCGCACAAACCCCCGCCGCAGGCTATGTGCGCACCGCTCGCCTTTTGTCCTTCGCTCTGGCCGCTGACGGTGACCTCCTTGAGTCGCTGGCCTCCACCATCTCGCAGACATTCTTCCAGCTTCTCCTGGGCCCGACCCTTGCGCCCAAGCATGAGGGCCACCATCTGCACCTAACTGGCGGAGGCGACGGAGAGCTGAGAGCACCGGCCTTCCTTCTGCTTGCTTTGGGCGTCGTGCATGCATCCAGTTTCAACTCACGTGTGTTGCACTCCACCATGCTCATGCGCTCTTACGACTCCTAGGAATTTCCTTTTCTTGTTTCTGAGATGCAACGCCCATGCGACGCCTTTGCTTCCGGACCACTACCACTACCACCACCAGTAACAAC